AGTATGCAGCTTAACTTAGGGGAACAAGCAGGTAGGTCTCAAGTTCCAGACTACTTTTAAACTTTTTTTTTTTTTAACCTTGAGTGCTATTTAATTTGCACTTGTTCATACAGCTGCAGTTTACACTGAGATAATTTTCTTCCTACAGGAGTGCATGTTTTCATCAACACGCTTCCCCCCCCCAGCCCGCATTGGCAGTACATGGAAGTATCTACTGATAATTTAACAAAGGAGGTCACCAATAGTATTTCTCAACACTGGTTAATTTATGTGTGTGTTGTGTTAGTTTTGAGTTGTCTTCTATGCTTTTCCTTTCAGCCTCCTCCCCTGTCTGTAAGATTTGTTTTGATTCCTCTAAATGGGCTAATGCTTACATAGGAAAAGTGTATTAGCTCCCATCTTGCTCCCACCCTCTTCTCTCATCATTTTCAGCACTGGGAGCCCCATCACAACTGACCTTAACCAAACTTACGGTTTGCAGCAGCTGTTCTCTATTGTGGTACAAATAGCTTCACTGCAGTGGTATTTTATAGATTAAAACCTCTAGAACAGCCCTTGAACTTGTCATGCTCATGCTGTTATCTTGTTCTGCTTGCCGTATGGAAGTACTCTGTCCTACTGTAATTATTCACTAGAACTGCATTCATATGAAGGAGTTATTCTATTCATGGTATAATTAGATGCTTTGTTTTAAATCACTCAAATGCTAGGTTCTATGTTTTTCACACAATCAGGTCATATTTCATCTATTTCAGATGCTCAGGATCTGGCTATCATCTTAGTCCCTAGAAATCAGTGGGAGCTAGAAATGTTTGTCATTTACGGACTGCAGTAAATGCCTTTAAAAAAAATACACATTCAAGCTCTTGGCTTTAGAAGCAAGTGATTTTACCTTGGGCTTAAAAGTCAAGGGACACCTCTTAAACACTGCTATTTCACTGTAGACCATTTATCTATGAAGGAAAATGCAAGCAAGTCAATCTCAACCTTGCTTAAAAAAGCAGCGCTATGCATATGAAGTGCTCTGTTGTTTTAATTTAAAATAATTTAAAAATCACACAAGTGAAACTCGGTTGTGTGCCTAGGCAGTAAAAGTTGCTGCTGATGCACAGATATCATTGATTTGTGATGGTAAAACTTGGAATTGTATCCAAAAAATTAACTGGTTCCACTTCAGCATTGCTGGCTAGATGCTGGTCAATGGCTTTCTTGAGAGCTTAATTAGCCAACAGATGGGGCTGTGGAGCTTGTTTTCTGCACCATCTTGTCTATACTCCTGTAGTTCATCAAAAATTGATATTCAATATAAATGTATCTTTTCATCTTTTTGTACTTATTGAGAGCAGTAAGTTCAAGTGACAGGTATGTTTGATGAAGCAAAGATGGCTACATTTTACTAAAAAATAGTGAACCAAGCTATAAATACCACCTTTATTGCTAAAGGGTATATACCGTTGAAGGGAACATTAGGCTTGTGCTCTCATGTTACTAAAAACTACTATTCAGATTATTTTAGTTGTCTCCTACCCATATATTTTTATTTCCTTGAAATGAAATATGGGAACAGTAGACAAGAAATGGCAGAGTATTTAAACACACTTTTTTTTTTTTAATATTATTGTCTGTAAATGAGGTCCTAAGTTTGGGCTTCTTGGTTCTAGAAAAGTCCCAATCTTTTCCTGACTTCTTTGGAGATGAATAGAAATGTGCTTTATAAGCTCAATCTAAATCTATGGTTTTAAATAGGGCTTTGGCACAAAATACATTACTGTGTCAGATACTCTCCCTAAAAGACTAAAAGAATTAATTAAAATGTATTTTAAACCTGTTTCAGAGCCAAATAAAGTACAGCAGACAAATTTGAGTGGTGGCTTTCAGATGATTTGGCTTAAAATTCAAGGTGAATATTTGACAGCAAAAAAAATTACAAAAAAATACAGGGCATAGCCTTTGGAAGTTAATGAGTGTGGTCCAGGTCACTGGACTAACTTTATGTAAAGCATACTTAAAACTTCAGTGGTATATATTGCCAAAGCGTAAGTATATCATTTTCAGGAGCAAAGGCCATTGCTTTTAGTTTAGGGAGGAATCTACAACAGCCTGTACAAAGTACCCTCTTGCTTCATATCATATTCTAGAGCATGCATGATTTAGAAACTTTTTGAGCTAGGCTTTATTTCAGAAACACGGTGCTAAATATCCATCAGTAATCACACTCCTCTATTCATCTATTATTTTTGGACATTAAGTAGGCTTGATCTTCAGAAGGGCTTCTGGACAATTATATACAGGATTTAATGCTTTAGTCTGTCCTTTTACACAGTAGATTTGCTAAGTTTATTTTAGCAGGTTACAGATTTATAAAGGTTATACCATTATGTTACACTTCTTTCTTTAACAATTAATGCCTTGAGTTTTAGGATGAGAAAACAGCTTCCTGTGGGGCAAGTAGATTTTAACTTATATGGTAACATGCAACATTTTCAGTCCAGAAATGGAGTTTGGTAGTTTCCAGCTGTCTTAAATCCTTTGCAAAGCCCTGTACTTTGAGTTAATTCCAGGAATCTTATTTTTGAATCTTCATGTTTAGGGAGAGTAATAGGAAGTGGAAACTTTAATATAGCTCGCAACTTAAAGAAATAAAGGTGACCCAATCTTATTTCCATCCCCAACTCCCTCAGATTCTAGGGCCGGTTTGTGAGAGCAATAGCAGTATCCAGTACTGACTGCTTTATTCTCTCCTCAGTAGAGAAGGACCTCAGGTATACGGACTGGGAGTACGAGAAGACAACCTGTTAATTGAGTCTTTGGGTTCATAAGTGGCTTTCCATTAGTTTTGTCCATGCACATAGCAGTATAGGTTTTTTTAGACAAGGTCTTAAACTGAAAGTCTACATCTAAGTTACTTACATCTTTAAGGTGACTATTAGAGAGTACAATTTTTTTAAAGAACTGTTTGAGTCTTAGTTACTCAGGTAGTAATGTCAAATATGTTAAGCTTTAGACTACACAGAAGTATAGAGCTGAGAGGAGCCTCAGGATTATTCTTTCGCACTTGAAGTGGGCTTAAAGAGAGCTAGATGACTGCTTAGCATATTTTCACCTAACGTGTTCAGAAGTCTCCAACAGCAGGAATTCTTTTTTTCTAGATATCCCACCTGAATGCTTAGTTATTCTTTCAAGTTAAGATTTCCTAGTGTCTAATTTAAGTCTTTAGTATGTGTAATCAATATATTCCTTAGTCACAGCCCTCTAAGAGCATTTTGAGACACTTGCATTCATTGCTCCCAGCCATGTCTCTTTAATAGGGATAAGGATAGTTATTCAGCCTTTACTG